ATTAGACCAATTCTAGCTTATGCTTCAATAATCTGGTGGACTGCTTTGGACAAAAAGTGTTATATCAAACTACTACAGGGAGTTCAGCGTACATGCTGCTTGGGTATAAGTGGTGCCATGTGTACTACTTCAACCAAGGCTCTGGAAACGTTGCTAGATATTCCACCCATTGAAACATATATAAGATATGAGGCGGCGCTTACAGCCGAACGGCTCTTTACTTTAGGCGAACTGGCCAAAAACGGTTATAGGACACGTCATCAATGTATACTGGACACATTGGAAGGTTATACACATTCATCGGACGTGCCTGATCGCATACCAGACACTGAATATGTCGGAAACTTTGAAACGCTAATCCCAGATAGAATGTCTTGGTCAAGCGGAACATTAGAGCAAATACCAGTAGGAATCCGTTGCTACACGGATGGCTCTAAATTAGGGGACAAAGTGGGTCTGGGGTTCTATATTGAAGACCCAGAAACAGAAATATACCACCGTTTACCTAATCATAACACAAGCTTCCAGGCAGAAGTACGAGCAATAACGGAATGTGTAAATTGGATTAGAATAAATATGGCGCCCACAGGGCTTAATATATTTACCGACAGCCAGAAGGCAATTTGTGCGATATCAGGTGATAGAATTAAATCTAAGACCGTATTGGATTGTAAGAAAGCTTTAACTGAATACTCTCCCAGAGGTAAGGTTCACATCATATGGGTACCAGGCCACTCGGGAGTAATCGGCAACGAAAGGGCGAATGTAATAGCTTTAAAGGGAAGGGAGCTCGATGTAGTTAACCTGACAAACGCAAAACCATTCGACGCAACAAAAGCTGAATTAAAAATATGGATGAGAGAATCCCATAAGGCCTCTTGGAATAATGAAACGGTGGGTAGAACCACAAAGATTCTATGGGGTGACCCTGATGAGAGCAAGACGAGAAATCTTCTCAAAATGAGCAAGTCTGAGGTTAGTATGATGGTACGTATTCTCAGTGGACACACAGGATTACGAGCACATCTATACAAAATTGGACGTGCGAATTCAGACGAATGTAGAGCATGTGGAGAGGACAGTGAAACTCTGGAGCACTTTCTTTGCCATTGTCAGGCATTCGTCGAAGTTAGATCCAAGTATCTTGGAAGTGATGTTATTCCGGAAATAACATTCTTAACCAACACCGATTGGAAGATTCTTAGGAATTACGTCCAGGAAACTGAGTTTCTGAACATTCAGTAAACAATTTTTTTTTTTTTTTTTTTTTCTTGAATTGGAGCGCACAACAGGCCCGATAGTGGCCTAGGTGTATTTCTTCGGATTTGATGTAGTATACATCCTCCTATCAACCTAACCTAACCTAACCTAAGATTCCTAAAAAATATGTTTATGTCGAATTTCATCGCTATAGCTGCTTCTTTAGTCAGTTATGAACGTTAATGTCATTTTCTGAAGGGGACCTTATATGGGGTTAGGCGAAATCGTGGACCGATATTGCCCATTTTCAATACCAAACAAACTGCATCAATATAAAATATTTGTGCAAAATTTCAGCTCGCTAGCTGCTTCCGTTTGGACTCTATCGTGTTTTCAACAGACGGACAGACAGACGGACAGACGGACGGACATGGCTAGATCGTCTTAGAATTTAATGAGGATCCAGAATATATATACTTTTATGGGTCTTAGATGAATATTTCGATGTGTTACAAACGGAATGACAAAAACAATATACCAACCATCTTTTTTGATGGTGGGTATAAAAAGAAGAATAAGAATAATAGGACAGGAGAACGAAAGGAGAGGAAAAGATCTGTCAATATTTGATCCCACTAAAATTCCCATAAGAAGAAGCATCGTCAAAATTCAAATACCAACCTAGATCAAAGTAAAATCAAAGATAAAAGAACAAAGATCAAAGTGATTGAAGAATTTGAAAGAAAAAAAAGATTTTAAGAAACTTATGTGTGAAAACTAGAAAAAGATTTGCATTTAATTAAATTAAAAGTAGAAAAAAAGAAAAAGATTAAAAGAATTAAGTCAAAAAAGGGTATATTTAAATTATTTATATTGTGTAATTTTCTAAATCGTGGCAATTTGCACAGTGTTCCTTAAAAGAAAAAATCATAAAAGAAGAAAATCTTCAGTAAAAAAAACATAAAGATAAAAAAAAATAATTAAGAATAGAAATCAAATTAACAAAATCATTGGAGAAAAAAAACAAGTTAATTGTTAAATAGTGACAAAATCGGTTCGGTGTTTTTAAAATTAAAAGTGCACAGTAGTTTGACGAAGTTTGGTTGCAAACTATTGTAAAACAAGTAACAAAAGAACCTGAAATTTAGGCACAAAAAATATATAAAACTTCATTAAAAAGAAACCATTAAAAAAAAATCTAGAAAAACAATATTTTGCAAATTAAAAATTTCATCAACCCACTGTGCATAAATTTTTATATTTTTATATGTTGTATATTTTTTTTGGTATTTTTTTTTTGCTTTTTCCTTTGGTATTTTTTGATCTTGTAAGGAAAAAAAAAGTTATTAAAAATTTGTGAAAAAAAGAGAAAAAGATATCAAAAGATATCAAAAGAACCAAAAGAAAAATATAAAAAAATAAAATAAAGAAGAAGAATATGTAAAAGTCAAGTAAAACCGATAAAAAAACAAATTAAAGAAGTTAATCATATAAATACAAGAAATTACAAATAAAAACAAAATTTACAACATCCCCAGCTCTACACCTCTCTCACCTGCAGCACCAACGAAGATCTTCAGCGGCCTGCATGTAAGTAATTGATTTATATATGTATATTAATTTGTTCTTTTATTTTTTTTGAACAAACTAAGAACATAAAAATATCTTAAGAAAATGTTAAATAATTAAAATCAATAATGCAAAATTAGTATTCATACATTTTTTTTAAACAATTAAAAGAAAACTGTATAAATACATTTAAAAATGTGTCAATCAAAATATAAAAGAATATGTTCTTATTTTGGCCAAAATTATTTCTAAATTTTATATGATTTTTAATATCATTATTATGCGTATATCGAGACCTCGGTGTTAATTTAAACAAAGATTAAGAAAACAAACAAAAGATAATAAAAAAAACTCACTCAATCTCTCTCACTCGCAGAGAAGAGATCAATATTAAAAGAAAGCTTTCGATAAAGCTTTAATGAATCGGTAAAAAGCAATAATTATGTATAAGAATTAACTCTCCTCGATTTGTTATTTGATTTTCACCCTACTGCTCCGTTGTTAAATATTTAAATTTGTTATCGCGTTTGTTATTTACATTTTTAAACTGTGCAAGTTGAAACTAATTTATAAAAATCAATTTTTGTTGCAAATTTTATTAGATTTAAGTGCATGTTATTATCAATTTAGTTTTTTAATTCGAAAATGTTAATATTTAACATTTGTTTACTTCTGGTAACAGAATGAATTAGGAAAATTAGTTTTATTAAAGAAAAATTATTAATTTAGTTTGAAATTGAAATTCAAACATAAAAAATAGTTTTTTTAAAGATTTTAAAATCAAATCGTTAGAATAATGATTAAAACCTGAATTTATAAACAATAAATATTATTAACAATGTGTGAATAAATAATTTTGACTTTTTCCTTTCGGTTGAGAAGAAAAATATATTAGGGTCCTTTTATTAATATTTTAGGTTGGATAAAGGACAAAGGTTGAGGTGGGTTAAGAACTTAACGGGAATATCATCATCCCTATTATAAAACCACTTTAAAAACTCCTCCACATAGTAGATTTCAACACTTCCGTTTTATTTAGATTATTTTTTTTAACATTGTTTTTGGGGATTCAATAGATTAGTATACCAATCCATATCCATATTGTTAGCAACCACTTTACCAGGGACTCTGTAATAAATTAAGGCGACAGGTACATTGAACGAGTAGGGTCAAGAACCTCCCCACCCACTGAAGCTAGCGGAATAGACGGGTCCCGCCGACCCTCACTTGTGCAAATGTAAGTTGTGATATTTTAAAGATATTGTCGAGTTTAACAAACTTGGACTCTGTACTTTTTATTCAAACCAGTCGACCAATACATAAAATGGCGCCCAACGTGGGGCCTGGAACTTTCGATGGGTTATGTGCTGAAAAGTGGATATCATCGTCGAAATACCAGGTTCCAGAGGAATTAGATTACTAGGATGTTATTCCTAGAAAGTTACATTCCTGTGTAGCAGATTTCTCTGTGTGCACGAATATTTTAATTTCTATAGTTCAATTTTCATACCAGGGAATATTTGGATTCAATTTCTTTTTGTAAACTTCTAGTTTATAATAAATTTTTAAACCTTCCTGGAATTCGACTACTTATCGGCAATTAGAATGAGTAGATTTCGACCGGTTGGCAATTTGAGATTCCTTTATAATCAGGAGTTTATATTTAGTAATTATGAAGGTAATTCCAAGAATTTTTGATTGAGTTTTCAGGCAAAACTTTTCAAGTTGATAGTTTTACTTGGAATATTGAACCTTCTGTTGTTTACGGCGGGAATTCAGTCCGTTTAATGAAGCTACTTGCGATAGTTTTGTTAGGAATTCTAAATCAGATTATTCGAATTTCAATAAACCATATTTTTAATTTTGTAGATTTTTTTTTTTAAAGTGGAAAATATTTTCAATAAATATTTTAAAATTATTTAAAATATTATATTTTATACATATATTTTAACTTCTCAACCGAAGATAAGGAAAGTCATACTAATTTAATATAAAATTTTCATTGTATTTATACAATAATACTCATTGAGGAATACAACTTTGTTGTAATTTGCCAATTTATTTGTTTTGGATTTTATGAAGCTTTACAATCACTTTATTTATTGACTGAAATAGTTTCGTACTTTTATAGTATTTGAAGTTTTCAATATAGATCGTTTTATTAATCTGTAGGTTTTCAGATATACATTTTATAAACCCTTGCGAATAGTTAGCAATTTTTTTTGTTTATAATGGCAGTCCTTCGAAGTACAGAAGATATTCCAGCCATGACAGAACCTAACTTAGGTCTAGCCTGTTCTCTTTGTGAGTTGGAAATGTCAAACCCTAGCGAATGTGCTTTGACCAAGTGTAAACATACTTTGCATAGAGAATGTATTACGAAATGGATAAATAGTTCTAATGAGTGTCCAAATTGTGGCAAATTATGTCATGAGAATGATTTAAGTCAAATCGGAGCTAAACCTATGGAAAAGGCCAAGAGTTCTTTTTATCGTGGAAGAGGTCGTGGGTCCGCAACGAAAGCTTATAATACTAGGTCCTCAAATAGGGTACAGAAGGATGGCAAATCTACACAAGTCAATGTAGAAGGAGCTTCTTTAGGAACAAAGGTAATAGACGTAGATTCACAGCCAGAAGTAAATGTAACGATGAATGAGTCGCAGAACCCCAATTATAGTCAACATAATACAACAAACCAGTCTAGTAGAGGTAGGAGAGGGAATCGTAATGCAAATCGTTATGGCACAGATGATTGAAACTACAGTTCAAAGAATGCTTTCTCAGATGAATTTAAGCCCATGGCATCAGACAAGCCAAGAACCTACTCAACAGCAACAAAACCAACAACAACCTACAACTTCAAACACAACGACAATGTACATCTTCACCACCAATACATCAGGATAATTTAGAATGGAATTCACCTAATATCTCTGCTCAAAATGTTCAAAATCTTAGTTCAGTTTATACAGCCAATAGAATAAAATTACATCCAGATAAAGTTACAACTATAATACAAAGTTGGAATGTTAAGTTCGATGGATCAGCTGATGGACTACATTGCGAAGAATTCCTATATAGAATTAAATGTTTAGTGGAAGAAACATTTAATGGCAATTTTAATGAGAGTGTAGGGAAAAATTTGCACGTTTTAATGTCAGGTAAAGCTAGAACATGGTATTGGATTAGCTATTCCTTTGGAAGAAGAAGAGTTGATTGAGATAGTGATTAGGAATCTTAGGCCCGAAATTAGACATGAATTATTATATGTTCAGGTCAGATCTATAGGACATTTGAAACAGCTTTGTTCAGAAACGGGAGAAATTGTTTGAATGATGATTCATTCGTAGAAATAATGTCAATTGTTACCCTACTACTGGCCAACAACGTCGGATAGCAGCCATAGAAAGTGAGGAAATAAATTAACAATTAACGGATCAGGAAATTGCTAGAAAACTCTGATTTAGAGGTAAATGCACTTGATTCTCAGCCAAAAAGAAAGATTATATGCTGGAATTGCGATGAAGAAGGTCACTTTTGGGACATGTGTCTTAAGGATCGTAAAATTTTTTGTTACGGATGCGGTCTTAAGGATATGTATAAACCTCAATGTGAACAGTGTTCAAAAACTCAAAAACTACAGGAACTACAACAACAATCGAATAGATCCGAAATAGAATATCCAAATACCGGAAATGATAATGAAAACAATAATACCGAAAAAAAGAAGGAAGTTTAAATGAAATTGGAGAAAATCAGGAAATCGAGTTGAAAAATTGTGTAATTTTAGAGAATAAGGATAGGGAAAATAAATTAAAGGATAAGGATGTTAAATTATACAAAATTCGTCCTTTTCATGAAAGATTAAAGGATTATATAAGTGCTAGATT